CCTTCAGCTCCTTCCATTGGAATTTCTCTCTCCACGCAGTCCTCTCAGGGTGTGCGTGGCCAGGAGAGGAGGCTCCCTGGTGAATGATGTTGGTGACCTAGAACATCAGTTTCTCCCTTTCCCCCTTCCACCAGCAGGTTGCTCCACATATTGTCCTGCTGCCTCCCTTGTCCCTGAGTCCCCTGCTGCAGCCTCACACGCTCTCTGTCCCTCCTCCCAGGGTCCTCCTCTCACACCATCACCATTCCTGGAAGGCCCTGCCTCTCCCTGGGCTGCTCAGGGCCATGGGAACTGGGCATCTGGTTGCTTCTGGAGAAAGACAAAGCCTGCCTTGGACTTGGATGGTTTGCCAGCCTGTCTGTGGGACGGGAACCTCATGTGTGACCTCTCCTAGGGTGTACCAGCAAGAGGCTCCTATTGAAGCTGGATTTTTTTGTGTCAATGCCCTTCATAGGGCCTCAAACTTCTAGTCTTGCTCTCTGCTTGGAATTCAAATACCAGACTTTCTTTATAGAGGAGGGATCTGCTCTGCATTTGAGGAATGTACAACTTTTCTGATACTCCATTCACACATTACTTAAATAACTGGTGGCTTTGATAGAGCATGTGTTTCTGACTGTTCAGGGATGTGAGATTTAGAGAATGGAGTGGTCACAAATGGCTTTTTATGATAGTTGTTTTGATTCTTTTTTATTTTCCTTTCTTGCTTTCATAGTTTTTTTAATTCACACATAGTAATTGTGCATATCTATGAGGTTCAGTGTGATATTTCCATACATGTATGCAATGTGTAATTAGCACGGTAATTTGCATATGCAGCCCCTCACACATGTATTATTTCATTTGTTGGGAATATTCAAAACCAGTTCACATAGCTGTTTGGAAATATACAATAAATTGTAAATTCTAGTCTCTTTATAGTGTTCTAGAACACTGGAAGTTATTCCTCCTATCTAACTGTACTTTTGTACCCCTTTGGCTTTCCCTCACTACCCCCACAATTCTTTTCCTCTAAAAAACACTATTCTCATCTCTACCTCTACAATATCAACCTTTTTTATCTTCCACATATGAGTGACAACATGTGATGTTTCCCTTTCTGTGTCTGGTACTTTATTTAATGTTTCATGTTCTTTATTTCCAGGGACAAGTGCTGACACATGAAGAAGGAAGAGGTGGGTGTCCTGACTTGTATCCTCTCCTTCTAAGATTCATCAAAACTCCAAGTTATCTGACCCCAGTTGTTTGTGATCTTTGGTAAGGATTGCTCATACCTGGGCTAAGATGGTAAAGAACACCTCCCCCTGCCCCAGACACACAGACACGTTTGGGGTACTATTGTATGTAAGAGACAAACTGTATTGGTGGGTTAGGGATTGGATACTGGTGACTTACATTTATTCACTTTTTATACTTTTCTTGTGGTACCTTTGGCCAAGGCTGCGATGAATCTACGGTACTTATTCAAATCAGTCAGGCTTCATAGAGCTGGATGAGTTCAATGCAGAGATAACTAAATAGAGTCAATTCAGAAAGAAAGTTGAGATAACAAAATATCCCTGAATCAAAACCGCTTATGTTTAAATCTAGTTCAAGTATTTGGTGGCTGTTTGATCTTGGGTAAGTTACTTAGCCCTTATCTTACCTTTAATTTCTTCCTCTGTTAAATATGGTTGCAATGGAATATTACTCAATCATAAGAAATGACAGTGATCTAGCACCTCTTACACTTTCCTGGATTAAACTTAAGCCCATTATCCAAAGTGGAGCACCACAAGAACAGAAGAACAGGACCCATTTGTACTCACCATCAAATTGGTATTAACTAATCAACACATAAATGCACATATCAGAATAACATCTATTGGATGCTGGGGAAGGGGGAGGGCAGCGGGAGGAGGGGGGAGGAGGGAGGAGGGGATGGGTATTTGTATAAACAAGGAGTGCAATGCGCACTACCTGAAGGATGGACATATTTGAAACACGGACTTCGGGGGTGGGAACCAAAGGCAACACACGTAACCTAAACATCTGTACAACCATAATTTGCTGAAAGAAAAAAAAAAGAAAGAAATAACACAGACAGGTTTCCTTGCACCCAAGGTGCTCATCAGATTGTCGGGGGAACACAGACAATCAAGAAGTCAAAATATAAAATTTTGAAAGTATGATACATTGTGATACATACTTTAGAGAAAAATACAGCAGAAAAGAGAAACTAGCACAGAATCTTTAACAATTTGACAAAATTGAATTTTATCAATAAATATAGTAGTCAAAAAAAATAAATAAAAATAAATATGGTTGCAAATAGCATCTATATTAGAAGGATGTCATGAGGATTAAGTCGGTTCTTATTTGCAAAGTACTTGAAATAGTGCCTAGCATATAGAGCACATGATAAAAGTTTTGTTAAATAAACTAGAGCTTTCCCGTAAAGCAGAAGAGGATAAGTTATAAATAGGTTTCCTCATGTCTTCTGTGGTCTGCATCTGAGCACATACAGACCATGGAAAGTCCTTGGTGTATCTTGTACTTCTTCAGCTCCTTTGAATCAGTCTAATGTTTGCAGACAGGTTGTTATTGACATGCCTGCATAGGATTTAAACAGGAGGGAGATTATCTCTCTATAAAATACCCAAAACTTCTATTGCTTGTTTGTAAATCAGGGAATAGCTACCAGAAAATGGCAAACATCACCAAACATCAGCCATAGTCTTGAAACTTCCTAAGCCTTATTGGAGGATTGTCAATAAATTGCCCCACTTGAGGACACATTAACACTAGATGTCCAGAGTACTGATTTCTATCTAGGAGAAGAAATCCAGAGAGACTGTGATACAAAAGGCCTAAAATGAGTTTCTGGGAACCTTGTAAAACTTGGTCAGAGGACCTTGAGGATACTGAGGAAAATGTGATGATAAGTCGTAAAGGTGTGGAAATTATGTCTTCCCTAAAAAATATATCTGTTTGGAACCAAAGCTGCTGACGATATAAGTCCTACATTTTATTACCTTGCATGTGGAATTTGGCCAGTCATATATGTAAGCAAATAAAAGTAACTTCCCCACGGGTATACAGCCGCTAGGAATTGTAAAGATTTTTATGAAAGAACTGTGTCAATTTGTACATGTTCTGAATGTCCGTCTCTTTCATATCATGCTAGCTACAATGTGTTTTATTATGTATCTTAAAGTATTTGATTTTTTTTTGTGCCTGGAAAGACATTGCTTGTTCGAAGTTTTGTTAAAATAAAGAAAAACTTTCATATTTAAAAAAATATTTATAAAGTAATTTTTGTTTGAAAATTTAAAAAATTAATTGCTTATTCAATTTTTGTCAATAAACCTGTCATGGTACCAAATACACCTGCTCCATACTGAATCCTTTGGTAACTGAAGAATATAACTGAATCTTTTATCTGTAGGAAAAAAAGAAATAATGCTCTGGTTATAATATTTTAAAAAGAGAACTATTTTTAGTAAGTGCAGAAATAGATTAATTTAAAAAACACATATGATTTTTAGACAGAATAAACAATGTTAAAATTTGTCCTTTTTGTTTAAAATTGTTAGATTTTATAAAGCAAAAAGAACTTGTAAATTATCTAGGCAAATACCATGATAAATTTTAATGTATATTCTTACATTTCAGTCAGTTTTTAAACTACATGCAAATTGGTGAATAAACAGTATATTGCATTAATCTGTATCTTTTAACAGCATACATAAATTTTATGAAATAGTTCTAACTTTCTGCAGCTGACATTTTTGTATTCAACATTATGGTTTTGAGACCAGTCTATATTGAAATTTACAAATCTAGCTCGTTTGACTTCCGTCTAGTATTTCATTACACTTTGTTTATTCATTTATCCCACTTAATATACCCATCTTTCTTTCTGTGAATATTTAGGTTTGATTTTTCTTCTTAATTTTGTATTCTGATTGGCTTTTGTTCTTTGCATTACAAATGGATATTCTATGATGATTCCAGTAAGTGTACAATATCACCATACCATCTTTGACATCACAGTAACAAATAGCTGGTTTCAAACAAGTATTTTTAATGAAGCCTAACGTCATATCCAGCTACTCTGAGCTTCCTAGGGCCTCAGCACCCTACAACTCCCATCTACTTGGACTTTGAGAAGAACTGTATTTTGTTAGTTCAAATCTTGTTGGACACGTCAGTTTAAATTTATGGAACTACTAACCCTAGCTTTTTGCAGTAAGTCTTGAGATGTTCCTGAACCGGAAAAAAATGGAGGAGTCACCTAAAGCCACCAGCAAATTGTGCTTAATCATTTGGACCCAGCTGGTTCCTTCTTAACCCCTACTCATGCCTGACACAAAAGAGCAGGCTCCATAGTTACAGGCAGTACAAGAAAATCTACTTTTCTCCGATACTTTCTGGATTGCTAGGGGACATGGGAATTGTCACCTGTTTCCTGCTGGGCAAGGGCAAAGTGCACCTTGGCCTTTGAAAGTTTTCCAAACTGTTTGCAGGAAAGGGGACTTATCTGTGACCATTCCTAGAATGTGACAGGAAAAGGACCCTCTTTGTGTCAGTGCCCTATAGACCCTTGAACCCTCATTCATCCCCTGCTTACATGACATGGCTCTTCTCTTAGACCCTGTTATAAAGCTCCTACCACTGCCTAGCCTGACAAGCCACCTCAGACCCAGCCAAAAGGTATGTGGTTATTCTAGGAGATGGGCATCTCTAACATGGGCTGTTTCTCTTAAATCCTGGGAAAGATACAGAATGAGTTTCTGTCCAAAAGTTTCCAGCATCGATAAAGCTTAATCAGGAGTTAAATCTGTTTGGGTTTTCTGGGTCTATATAATCCCCAAACTCTCAAGAGAAATATTTGAGGGTGTGGGTGTCTTGGAGTACTTTCCTGCTCTAAGTAATTTAGAGAAAAGGGACTATAAGGAAGGTAACAAGTGTTTCACACTCTACCTCTCGGAAACACTCTTTCTTATATTCTATTACAGAGACTGTTTTGCTCCTTAAGCAAGAGATTCACTGCTGCTCAGCCTGGCTCAGACCAACTCATGGTTGATGCTCCTCTCCTGCCTGATGTTTGGGTCTCTGAGCCAAGGTGAGATCTCTCCACCAACCCCCTACAATCCTGAAGCCTTCACTCCAGGACAAGGTATGTAAATCCCTGGAGGAAAAACCAGAGGCAAAATAAGGGATTGTTTAGTGTCCTTCAGTGATCCTTATTGCTGTACTAATCCCATTCAAATACATCTTTACCTCATTAGGGAGTCTGAGAAAGAATTTAAACTGATACTTTGTCAGTAACCACTGCAGATGTAGTTAGTTCATTCGATCAAATCTACATGTGGTGGCAGGTTTGGGGATGATGGAATGTAAAGGTTCACTAAAGGGATAGAGAACTGAGGAGAGCCATGTGTACAGGGAAACCTAGACAGTCTTGAGAAAGACAGAAGCCTGAGTCTTTAAAGGCAGAAGAAGCTTGAGCCCCACAAAAAAAAAAAAAAGGAGGAAAATGGGGACACATTTCTTTAGCCTATTCATTGTATGTTATCACCTTAAGCAATGGAAATGGAGAGAGAAGAGGTAGCACGCAAGAGAGCAGAAGTGAGCAACCACCCCCTGAGCTAAGCCATCCTTCTTTCACCATAAAAGAAGATCACAGGCTTCTACCTCACTTTCCAGCATTTTGCCTGCCCTGAGAGTCTCCTTTGTCTCTCCTTTCCCAGGCCAAGAGACCCAGACAGAGCTGCCTAAGGCCTGGATCAGCTGCCCAGAAGGCACCAATGCCTGTCGCTCCTACTGCCACTACTTTAATGAAGACCGCGATTCCTGGGTTGATGCAGATGAGTGAGGAGAGCCGTGTGGGGAAGGGAGGCTCATGAAGTTAGGGGCAGCTGCCACTTCCCAGTGTGCTCAGTGGCATCGATGAGATAAGACTGATCATCTCGCTAACCCATCACTGGCCCCAAAACTTTCCAATCTATGTTGTGCTGTCATCCTGCACATTCTCAGCACAGAGATGCTGGGAATAAGCGACGGCATCATCAGGAACATTTCTGTACTGTCCTTTTTCTGCCACAACCCCTGGGAGGACCCAGTTTATGCCTCAAACCATCCTCCTCCATTGAGTGCTCCATTTTCCTCCCCACCAGCTCTACCACCAGAACATGCATTCAGGCAACCTGGTGTCTGTGCTCACCCAGGCCGAGGGTGCCTTTGTGGCCTCACTGATTAGAGAGAGTGGCACTGATGACTTCAATGTCTGGATTGGCCTCCATGATCCTAAAAAGATCAGTTTGCAGCTTCTTTATCTCTAAATTATCATATTTGAGAAGGAAAAGGGGCAAGCAATGTCTGGCCCCTCAAGCAACAGCTATCACCATTTTCTGATAAAAGCAATGTCTCTATAGATCCTACAATATCAGAGACAGGTAGGTTTACTGGAGGTGGTTAGAGAGATAAGCTGAAGGCTAAACCTCCTGGGTGTTCCAGGAATTCATGAATAATCTCATTCTGTCATGTTCTAGCAAACCACCTTTATGTATTGCATCTTACCTGTTCTGATATTGTCTGTGTTGTGAGAGAACCCTTTGCAGACTACATAGAAATGGAGACTTAGTGGAACAGAATCTACTGCTGGCATTTGGGAACCTGGTGCTCTACTAAATACTATGTCAACTACTAATGTGTTGCCAATGTGATGCTGGATTGTGAGGGTTGTGAGTCTCAGGAAAGAAAAATCAGGAACCATTTTCTGTAATGGGCTTTTGTGAGTCTTTCTATCAAATTCAGAACACTTATTGTTTGGTGGAACACAGGGAGGGAGTTAGACATTCCAGAAAAGGAGAAGCCTAGACAAAATAAGACGAAATGATATGATATTCAGGGAGATAACAAGGTTTATTCTTGCCGTATGTCATGGTCTGTTCCTGAGTGTGCACACAGGCCTATCACTTTCTGAGTGACCACTGTCCCTGTTCTGGCCCTTCCCCATCTAGAACCGCCGCTGGTACTGGAGCAATGGGTTCCTGGTCTCCTACAAATCCTGGGACATTCGAGCCCCAAGCAGTGTCAGTCCTGGCTACTGTGCCAGCCTGATTTCAAGTTCAGGTGAGAGGAAGAAAACCCACCCACCCATTTCCATCCTCTCCTACTTAGCTCTCAGGATGGACGTGGGGATGAGGATAGAGGAAAGGCAAGCTCCTCATCCAGGAAATGGAGAAGTGTTCCCTCTTGTTTCTTGTCCTGAGTCCTGGAGCCAGGAGGGGCCACACTGCTTCTGGTCCTCATAGTCTGACTTTTCTTATTTGCCTGCAGAATTCAAGAAGTGGAAGGATATGCCTTGTGAGGCAAAGTTCTCCTTTGTTTGCAAGTTCAAAAACTAGAGACAGCTGAAAAACCGATGTCTAGAACTGTTCCTGCAATTAATCTGGATTCAAAACTTAAACTGGACCATCGCTCCAACTCAGTCCACACCCTCTCTTCCTTGCTGAGTTTATATTGCTGACCTTCAGTACCTTTCCCCTCCTACTCTTTTGATCCCTAAAACAGAGAAAATAAACATGTTTTCCCCCATTTTCTTATTGTTTGTTTGCTATTTTCACAGCTAATTTCTGGGAGATTGGTTTGGGAGTGATTATAATACTCTACAGCTTGCTTTGGCCCAGCCGCTTTTTAAAACTCCATCCACATATCACACATGTTAGGTTTATGAACATGTGACTTTGCTTACAACAAGGTTAAGAAGATAAAGATTTTACCTACAACCCACATACATGCATGCCCCAGAGATATTGTGGGTTAGACTCCAGATGACCATAATAAAGTGATACTGTAATAAAGCAAGTTACACAAAGTTTTTGGTTTTGCAATGCATATACAAGTATGTTTATACTATACTGTAGTCTCTTAAGTGTGAAGTAACATTATATTTGAAAAAATAATGTGCATGCCTTAATTAAAAACACTTTATTGCTAGAAGAAAATGCTGAAGAAGTGATCATCTGAGCCTTAAAATATCTCTTTGCTGGTGGAGCGTTTGCCTCAATCGTAGTGGTGGTTGTTGATGGTTGGGGTGTCTTTGGCAATTTATTAAAATAAGACTACAATCAAGATTACTGCATCAGTTGACTCTTCCTTCACGAAAGATATCTCTGTAGCATGTAATGTTGTTTGTTAGCATTTTACTCTTAGTAGAACTTCTTTCAAAATTAGAGTCAATGTTCTCAAACCCTGTGAGTGCTTTATCAAATAAGTTCATGTAATTTTCCAAATCCTTTGTTGCTGTTTCAACAATGTTCATAGCACCTTCTCCAGGCATAGATCTCATCTCAAAAAACCACTGCTTCTCTGTAAGAAGCAATTCCTCATCTATTCAAGTTTTATCGTGAGATTACAGCAATTCAGTCACATCTTCAGGCTCCATTTCTAATTTTAGTTCTCTTGTTATTTCCACCTCATTGACATTGCCATCCTACACTGAATTCTTGAACCCCTCAAAGTCATCCATGAGGGTTGGAATTAACTGCTTACAACTTAATGTTGACATTTTGACCTCTTCCCATGAATCACAAATGTTCTTAATGACATCTAGAATAGTGAATCCTTTCCAGAAGATTTTCAGATCCATCAGAGGAATCACTATCTATGGCAGCTATAGCCTTACAAAATGTATTTCTTGGTTATTAAGTCTTGAAAGTTGACTTACTTCTTAATACATGGGCTACTGAATGGATGTTGTGTTAGCAGGCATGAAAACAACATTAATCTACTTGTATATCTCCATCAGAGCTCTTGGGTAACCAGATGTATTGTCAATGAGATTTTTTTTTTTTTATTTCAGGGTATTATGAGGGTACAAACATTATGGTTACACTTTATGTATTTGCCTCACCCAAGCAAGGTTTAAAGGCATGCCCTTCCCCACTGCAATGCTCCCCGTGTCCTTTAATTGCGGATTTACCCCACCCCCACATCCCCCTAGTCCCTGGAGAGTATTACTGTCATGTGATTACCCTAGTGTTGATCAGTTAGTACCAATTTGATGGCGAGTACAAGTGGATTATTAAAATTTGGTATATGTATACAATGGAATATTACTCAATCATAAGAAATGACAGTGATCTAGCACCTCTTATACTTTCCTGGATTAAATTTAAGACCATTATCCAAAGTGAGGCACCACAAGATTGGAAGAATGGGCTCCACTTGTCAATGAGATTTTTAAAAAATCTTTTTTTCTGAGTAGCAAGTCTCAACAGTGGGCTTAGAATATTCAGTAAACCTTACTGTAAACAGAAATGCTGTCATTCAGGCTTTCATGTCACCACCTTCATCAATGATCTTAGCTAGATCTTCTGAGTAACTTGCTGCAGCTTCTACATTAGCACTTGCTGCTCTGCGTTGTGCTTCTATGTTATGGAGATGGCTTCTTTCCTTAAACCTCATGAATCAACCTCTGCTAATTTCGAGGTTTTCTTCTGCAGCTTTCTCACCTCTCCCACCAGCTTTCAGAGAATTAGAGACTTCAAGCCTTGTTGTGGAATAGGCTTCAGCCAAAAGGAATGCTGTGGCTGGTTTGATCTTCTATCCAGACCACTAAAGCTTTTTCTGTATTAGCAATAAGGCTATTCTGCTTTCTTACAATTCGTGTGTTCACTGAAGTAGTGCTTTTAATTTCCTTCAAGAACTTTTCCTTTGCATTTAAAACTTGGATAACCATTTGGTGCAAGAGGCCTAGTTTTCAGTGTATCTCAACTTTTAACATCCCTTCCCAAGTTTAATCATCTCTAGCTTTTGATTTAACATGAGAGATACACAACTCTTCCTTTCACTTGAACATTTAGAGGCCATTGCAACATCATTAATTAGCCTAATTTTAACATTTTTGTGTCTCAGGGAATAGGGAGACCCAAGGAGAGGGAGACAGGAGAAACAATCAATCAGCGGAGCAGTCAGAACACTCACAACATTTATTGATTAAGTTCACCATCTAGTATGGATGTGGTTCATGGCAGCCCAAAATAATTAAAACAGTAACATCAAAGATCACTGATCAAAGATCACCATAACAGATATAATAATAATGAAAAAGTTTTAAATATTATGAAATTACTAAAATATGATTCAGAGATGCAAAATGAGCACACACTATTAAAAAAATGGTGCTGAAAGAATTGCTTTACATAGGGTTGCCACAAACCTACAATGTGTAAAAGATACAGTATCTGCAAAACACAATAAAATGAATTGCAGTGAATTTAGGTATGCTTGTATTTACATGGATCTAGTTTGAGTTACAGAAATTATTATTGCTGGTCCCTGAATGGCTGGAGTATTTGATACTCTGGAGGGATGCACACATTTGTGGTCTGGGGAGTCCACAGCTATTTTCAGTTATGCAAGATGAAGCCATGACTGTAGTGATAATTTAAGGAGAATTATCAGTCTAGAGTTCTGAATGCATTGATGGTAGAATGACTAGAGGCTCGGAGACCAGCAGCATTTGTTAAAGGGCATTCCTTGAAAAAATAAACCAATTAAATAGAATATACAGGCATACTTAATTACCTCTTTAAAAATTATATCACCAGATATAGTTAAATTCTAAGTACTGAGTGTTAATATTTTCACAAACTAGTTTTGCATACATACAATTTAGCCCATACAGGAAAAATGTCAATAATAACATTAAATGGAATTTGATAGAACAATCTAATCAAAAGGCACAGATTGTTAGTCTGAATTAAAACAACAATAACTACAATAACAAAAAGAAATATTTAACAATGTAGTATGTATAGGAGATCTGACTTAAATTCACAAAAAGATACTTGTATATTTTCTTTTAAATATTTTATAGATTTATCTCTTTAATCTAACTCTATGATCCATTTTGAATTAATTTCTATGTACAGTGTAAGAAATAGAACCGAATTGATTCTTTGGCATATTGGCCATCCAATCGTTCCAGCACCATTTACTGAAGAATATTCTTCCCCGTTGAATTTCCATAATATGCATGTCAACAAACAACTATAAATGAAAGAAATTATTTCTGTAATGTGAATTCTATATTACAGATATTTATGTTAATAGTTATGCCAGTTTCACACAATCTTTATTACTTTGGCTTTGTAGAAAGTTTTAAAATCTGGAAGTGTAAGTCCTCCAACATTGTTCTTCTTTATCAAAATTATTGTGTCTTTCTGGGCCAATATTGCTTGGCTATTCTGAATTTCCATATGAATATTAAGATTATCTTGCCAATTTCTGAAAAAAGAATAGCTGAAGCTCTGATGGGCATTGTGGTAAATCTAGAGATCAATTTGGGGAGTACTTCCACATTAATATTAGGTCTCTAGTTCATGAACATGAGATACCCTTTGTTTAGATCTTCTCAAATTTCATTTAACAATGTTTTGTACTTTCTAGGGTACAAGATTTGCACTTCTTCTTAAAATAAATTCCTTAAATTTTATTCATTTTGATATTGTAATGAAACTGTTTTCCTGGTGTCATTTTAAATAGTTCACTCTCAGCATATATTTTATCCTAGAGAATCTTTCTTGTGTGCTTGAGAAGAATGTGTATTTTGCTTGTATTGAGTAAATTATTCTATAGATGTCTGTTTGGTCTAGTTTACTTGCATATTTTCAAGTGTTCTACTTCCTTGTTAATCTTCTAAGTGTTCTATCCATTATTGACAGAGGTGTATTTAAGACTCCAGCTATTATTGTTGAATTTTCTATTTCTACCTTCAATTCTGTCAGATTTCACTTTATGAATTTTGGGTCTATGTTGTTATTTGTACATGTATGTCTATAATGGTTACATTTTTCTAAAGGATTAACCAATATATAATTATAAAGTGTTCCTCCTTTTCTCTAGTAACATGTTTTGTTTCAAAGTCTAATTTGTTGTTAAAGCAGACATGTCAATGGTTGCTATTTGCATGACATATGTTTTTCCATCCTTTACTTTCAAACTATTTGTGTCTTTGAATCTAAATCATGTCGCCTACAGAGTGCATATAATTGGATTTAATTATTGTTGTTGTCGTTTTAGTCCAGACTGACAATCTGTGCCTTTTGATTGTATTGTTTTATCAAATCACATTTAATGTTATTATTGATAGTGTTGGGTTATGGGTTGAATTGTGTCACTAAAAAAATTAATTTGTTAAAGTCCCAATATCAGTACTTCAGAATTTCACTGTATTTGGAGATGGGATCATTAAAGAGATAATTAAGTATGCCCATGTGTTTTGTTAATCTAATGTATCATTTATTTACTCATTCATTCCAGTAGTGCCATTTAACAAATGATGCTGCCCCCAAGTTTCTAGTCATTCCGCCACCAATGTATTTAGCACTCTAGACCTGAC